TTGACTCATGTAATCCAACCATGGTTCCAATATCATCATCTTCTTCAAGTGGAACTGCAGCATATCTGACTGGGTTGGGGCATATCATAAACCTATACCTCAAACCATCAACTGCAGCTCGAATTTTTCTTTCTATCTTATGCTTCATTTCTATAAATGTGATGTCTTTTTTGAACATCATATTTATTGGTTTTTCAGACTGAAAAGCTACTCCGACCTCATTTTCCATAATCTGTCCATTATAATGGACAATCGTGAAAAAGTTGTTGCTCATTTTCTCTACAAATAAAAAATAAATTAATTTAGATTAAAATATTAGATAATATAATTTCATAAAACATTAAATCATTAAATATAATATAATATACTATTATATTATATTAATGATCAAATAAAATTTGTTATTTAACTTGATTAATTGATTAATTACTAATATTATTAATAATGATTTAATAATTATTATTAATCTAATGATTTGATATTTAATGATTTAATAATAATATGATTTAGTCATGATTACTAATAATTATTTATTATAAATATTTAATGATTTAGATTTGATACTAATTATTTAGTTATTATTACTAATAATCATGATTAGTTTGATAATTTTTTTTATTTTTTAAAAATATCAAACAAATTTGTTAGGCAAAATATCTTAATAATGCGTTGGCCGGATTATTTCATTCAATTAATTTTTACTCCTTACTAATTTACACATACAATATAAATAAAACAAAATATTTTTTTTAAAACAACACTAAATATTTTTAAACACAATATTTTTTTTAAACAAAAATTATCTCGCACAAATTAGTTTATATAATCTAATATAAACTTACTATCTAACTAATTTACACATATACAACAACAAAAATAGACAACAAAAAATAAATTACTCACGTATTTATGCCTTCCTCCTTTCCTTTCTTTTCCTTCTTTGTTTCTTTATTCGAATCAATTTCAACATGGGCAATGTTGTGGAATAATGCCCTGTATGTGTAAACCGTTTAATTTATTTAAACAACAATAGCTCCCACAAATTAATTTTATATAATCTAATATATTATAATAACTTAAACTAATAAACTATTTCTTTATTATAATATAACTTAGTTAAAATAACACACTAATTAAGCACTAATTAATTTTTTTATAATATAACTTCAACTTCAATGAACAATCTAATATATGTTTAAAAACACTAACAAATTAATTAATATTTTTTTATATTTAATAACTTAAACTAATTAACTAATTTTTTTATATAATATAATATATAACTTAAACTAACCAACTAATAATTTATACTAACAAACTAATTAACTAGATTTTAGTTTACCCTAAACCCTAAACTTACAAACTAATAATTTCATATAATAAACTAAATTAAACAATAAAAAATTACCTCACAAACTATGTTTGATCCTTTATCTTATTTCTCTTCTTCCTTTTCCTTCTCTCGGCAAAGTTTATATGTGCTTATGCTTATACTCCTGGTTGTTCTTCTGCTTCTATCCTAAACCCCATATCATTTATATAAAGCAAAAAATCGTTGTACAGAGTCATTAAAATTTGACTATTGAATAAAATATTATTAGGATTGAATCGTATAACTATTGAGCATTGAAAGTCTTCAATTGAACATCAATATTTGCTGTATTTAACAGCTAAATTAACGCTGCAATCATACAGCTATGGATGCAACGCATGCAGCTACGGATGCAGGAATCTCCCAGCTAGCTATGGATGCAACGCATGCATGAGTGATACAGTTAAAGCTTGGTCGTTGCATGCATGAGTGATACAGTTAAAGCTTGGTCGCGATGCAGGAATCTCCCAGCTATGGAGACTCCATGGCGACCTACCACCTACCCTACCACCTACCATGTCGTCGGGACTCCATGGCGACCTACCATGTCGTCGGGACTCCATGGCGACCTACCATGTCGCCGGCAACCTAGAACCGATCCTTGGTCGCCCCGAGTGCCCCATGCATGAACCGATCCTTGGTCATCCTTGGTGCATGGCCCATGCAGAGGTTTGCCGAGATCAGACCACGTGAACAAAGCGCAGCGCGACCTATCTCATGCCTCGTGTATGGCCCATGCATAGCACCAAAGCAGCATCAGCGAGCAACAGCGGGCACCAAAGCAGCATCAGCGAGCAACAGCGGGCAAAGAACCAGGGCAAATAATGATGGACGCCGGGCGTGCATGGCGACCTTATAGGACGCCGGGCGTGCATGGCGACCTATAAGGACGCCGGGCGTGCATGGCGACCTATAAGGACGCCGGGCGTGCATGGCGACCTATGTTGCCACTGTAGAATTTACCCCATTCGAGCAATTAATCTGGCCAGTGCATCATCTCGTAAAATATTTTTTTTGAATGCATTATGTCGTGAGTTTTACCGTCCAAATCGGGTAGGATAAATGAAGCTCGGAAGCTATTTGACGAAATGCCTGAACGGGATGAGTTCGCCTGGAACACATTGGTAGCTGCGTATGCATCTTCCGGGAAATTAACTGAAGCTGTCGAGCTTTTTAAAGGAACCCCGATAACGAGTTCCATCACTTGAAATTCACTAATTTCAGGTTATTGTCAACATGGGAAGGAAACTGAAGCTTTTGATTTGTTTTCGAAAATGCAAGTTGCGGGACAACGGCCTAATCAATACACAATGGGAAGTATTTTGAGGATGTGTTCGACATCGGGATTGCTTGGAAGAGGCAAAAAGGTGCATGGTTATGTAATAAAGACACAATTCGAGTCGAATGACTATGTTGTTATGGGTCTGGTCGATACGTATGCAAAGTGCAATTGCATTTTGGAAGCTGAATATCTGTTTAAAATGACGCCGGACAAGAAAAACCATGTCATGTCGACTGCCATGGTTGCTGGTTATTCTCAGAATGGGGAGGCATTCAAAGCGATTAAATGTTATCGAGATATGGTGGTCGAAGGAATTGCGTCTAATCAGTTCACTCTCCCCAGTGTGTTAACAGCTTGTGCTGCGGTTGAAGCTGGTAATTTTGGTGCACAAGTGCATAGCTTCATTGTTAGGAGTGGTTTTGAACCTAATGTTTTCGTTCAAAGTGCATTGGTCGATATGTACGCGAAATGTCGGGATTTGGATAGTGCCATTAAAGTCTTGGTGAATACGGAGGTTGACGATGTTGTTACTTGAAACTCTATGTTAGTGGGGTGCGTGAGGCTGGGCTGTGAAGCGGATGCTCTCTCGTTGCTCCGGAATATGCATGCTAGAGATATGAAGCTGGATAATTTCACATACCCGTCTGTTCTAAACTGTTTTGCTTTAACGAAAGATATGAACAATGCAATGTCAGTACACTGTTTGATTACCAAAACAGGATTTGAGGCTTCCAAACTAGTGAATAATGCTTTGGTTGACATGTACGCTAAACAAGGAAACATGGATTGTGCTTTTCAGGTGTTCAACCACATGCCGAACAAGGATGTGGTCTCGTGGACCGCTTTGGTGACAGGATATGCACGTAATAACCGTGATGAAGAAGCTCTCGATTTGTTTTGTGACATGAGATTGGCAGGCGTTTATCCCGACCATATCATTCTTGCCAGTGTTTTGAGTGCTTGTGCAGAATTAACAGTTCTGGAATTTGGGCAACAACTTCATGCAAACTTTGTTAAATCCGGTCTTCCCTCATCCATTTCAGTAGATAATTCCCTCGTAACAATGTATGCTAAGTGCGGATGTATAGACGATGCAAACAGAGTATTTGATTCTATGCGGATTCGGGATGTAATATCTTGGACTGCACTAATAGTTTGTTATGTCCAGAACGGTAGAGGAAGGGACTCGGTAAGGTTCTATGATCAAATGATTGCTAGTGACACAAAACCCGACTTCATTACTTTTATAGGTTTACTATTTGCTTGCAGCCATGCCGGCCTTTTGGAAAGAGGTCGCTCGTATTTCGCATCAATGGATAAGGTATACGGAATTAAACCGGGTCCGAACACTATGCTTGTATGATTGATCTCTTGGGTCGCTCCGGAAAACTCATTGAAGCCGAAACATTGTTAAATCAAATGGGTGTGGAACCAGATGCGACTGTATGGAAGGCTCTTCTTGCTGCATGTAGAGTACACGGCAAGGAAAGAGCGGCAAATAACCTCTTTGAGTTAGAGCCCACAAATGCTGTGCCATACATCATGTTGTCTAACATGTATTCTGCTGCCGGAAAATGGGAAAATGCCACGAGGATCCGAAGGACGATGAAATCAAGGGGGCTCAGTAAGGAGCCTGGGATGTAGTTGGATCAAGGTAAACAGCAAGGTGCACACCTTTATGTCGGAAGACAGAGGGCATCCTAGAACCACGGAGATCTATTCCAAGATCGACGAGATCATGGTTTTGATCAGGGAAGGTGGTTATGAACCAGACATCAGTTTTGCCCTCCATAACATGGATGAAGAAGCGAAGGAGCTTGGTCTGGCCTATCACAGTGAAAAACTAGCGGTTGCATTCGGGCTTCTAAGTTTGTCAACCGGGGCTCCGATCCGAATCTTTAAGAATCTTCGGGTTTGTGGGGATTGTCATACTGCTATGAAATATATTTCGAGAGTTTACCATCGTCACATCATCTTGAGAGATTCTAATTGTTTCCATCACTTCAAAGAAGGGCAATGCTCATGCGGAGACTATTGGTAGATGCTTTTTCGTCCATATTACTTGTTCTTCATACATTCAATTTTAAATTAAATAAATTTAAATTATTTAAAAAGAAGAATCCAATATGAAAAAATAATTTAAATTTCAAATGTAATAACTTAATAAGAACATATATATATATATATATATATATATATATATATATATATATATTTGATTTACAAAATCTTTGATTCTATAGTGTTTACCAAACCAAATAAACCTTATATTTGTGAAATTTGAATCTCAGTAGAACTTATACGAAATTTTGTCGGGGATAATCGGAGATTCCTCTGGTAGAAAACTCAGTGGAAAAAGAGTAATCTTTTTTCAATAGTAGAGTAACAAAACATATCAGATTGTAAATGAAAAAAATTATCAAAACCTCATTGCTAACTGCTATAATCCCACCCATCTCAAAGCACCATCCGAACTCATTGTTTGTGGTCCGAGAAACCGATGGCCTCCTGATCCTGGTAATACCATTTCGGGTCTTCGGTCATAAACTATCAAGGAACAAAGGTGGTGACCACCTATGAACTAGAAAGAGAAGGGGCAGTGTAGCTTGTCTGTCGTGGTAACTTTAGCATCATCCAAAACCAGTTTACGGTACCAACAGATGCCGTCCCATTCGATCACTTATGTCCGTGCATGTTCAGGGATGAGACGTTCCCATAGTTCAGGAGATGCACCGGTCAATTCTGCATAACCATTGACATTTGAAACTCCCGAACATGGAGAATTTTAAGAGAATAATAAGATGTGATGAGGTGAAACTCGCTTACCATTATCTGTGAAATTGAATAAAGGAGGTAGGGCCAGGCCGTTAGGCAAACATACGTTGGGGTCTCTTAAATCATCAAAGAAAGGGTGTGCACATGCCTCCAACTGAAAGCCAGGAAGTCCCACTCTCGTTAAATAGAACATAAAGGCTGGTTTATAAATTACAAAACTGAAGTTCCCAGTCAAGGTCGAGTATATGAACACAAACGCATTTGTAACGGAAAACAACAATAATACATTGCAATATGCTTACAGCGGTGCAACGTAGGTTCGGTGAATACTGAAGCAGCCTTGACACAAGATCTACTGCTTCAGGGGGCAACCGCTTGTTAAATATCTGAAAATATAAATTGAATAAGATTTCCACTTTCATGTACAATGTATAACAAGGTTAACTAGTAGATGATCCAATCAGAGCTGACCTTATGCCATGGATGAGCTTTGATCTGAGGGAACTTAAATTCATTGTAATTCGGATTCATGCATTTAATTTCTTCCCTGGTTGGTGTACCCAGTACCTGATCAAATAAAGCAGAATGAGGTGAAAATATGAAAAATGTTAAAAAGAACGAAAAGGCATAAGTGAAAAGTAGAAAGAGAAAAAAAGCCGCAGATTTGCACCTTGATAATTTCCACTAGTTGATCGACACCACTTTCACCTGGAAACAATGTCTGCAAATGGAATACACACATTATTGGAGATAGATGAAAAAAGAGTTCCAAAAATGTCCTTTCATGTAGACTTTGAGGATGTCAAAGGCCTAGCATACCAGCAAATTATACGGTATGGTCTCAAAAGAACGATAGCATAAGTGAGACGCTGAAGAAATAGATGCCAAAAGCAATACATAACAAATGTTTAACTGTCGCAACGCGTATCATGAATGTTAATAAAACCAGCAGAATTCATCATAATCATCAATTGATACATGAAATGAGAATGTGAGGAACGTGGATGCTATTAAAGCATTGTTGGAGCCATGCAAGTATTAGAGTTAAACAGAACCTAAATTGACATCAATCTGAGTGCAACAGAAACTTGAATTTATAGACTCACCTGTCCAAGCATAAGCTCAGCCATGACACAACCAACAGACCACATATCAATAGCAGTTGTATACACTGTCGCCCCAAATATAAGCTCTGGAGCTCTATAATATCTTGAGCATATGTATGATATGTTAGGCTCATCTGGCACCTAAGCATTGCAGAGTAAATCCAGTATAAGTTTTAGACAAGAAGAAAAGACTTTCTAACTTTCGAAAAATTTGATTTCTTGAACATACCAACATCTTTGCGCTACCAAAATCACATATCTTCACTTGGTGACTATGAGGATTGACCTGAAAATACATCACAACATAAGTTCTAATATTAATCAGTATTAATGATAAAAACTTTAGCAGAAGAATAACAAAAGCAATCAAATGTTAAAAGCCAACAAAATTTCACAGACAAGAACCACATTATATCATTAACATACGCAATAAATCCTTAGACAAACAGTACGGATGACCACCACAAAAACAAATAGTGACACATTATAGTGCATTCAAGTTGATGAGAAATTTGTCAAATTGGATGAACCATAATATCCAATACACAAGTTGATTTACCCGTTATAGCAACTTCCAGCTCATAAGAAAAGACAAGAATGTCTCACCAGTAAATTTTGCGGCTTAATATCACGATGACATACACAAACCACACGATGCAAATAATTTAGCCCACGACAAATCTACAAAAGCAATATAGATTGTCACAATATGAACAGAGAATATAGTCAAAATAATTAGATAAAAAATCAAACCGGTGGAATTTTGCAACCACTACTTATTAGAAAAGCCGAGGCAAGGATCACCTGGTATACATACAGCTGCACATGAAGAATGGGCATATGTTGATTCATATTGCTGTAGTGCTTTGACACTTGGTAAACAGTTTCTGGCACATACTCTAAAACAAGATTAAGATAGAGTTCATCTTTTTCAGTGGATGTAAAGAAACAGCGCATTAGTTGAACCACATTAGGATGTTCAAGTATTCGCATAATCTGAAGTTCCCTGTTTTTATATCTTTTATCCTGCAGAACCTTCTTTATAGCAACAGATTCACCACTCTCCAAGCACTTCGCCTACATCATAAACATAAAGTCTTATGTAAAACTAAAGAGAGAAGAATATACTGAATAAATGCAGACACCAGAGACAAAAAGTTACAAGCAAGAAGATGGTTAAGAGCCAATAAATTCATACCTGAAAGACAACACCAAATGAGCCAGTCCCAATCACATGCTCTACCTTGTATGCGATTGTCTAAAGCCCATGGAAAAATTGCAATGTTATGTGTTAATTGCAGGTTAATCCAAATAGAGTAATCAAATGAAATGGAGCACCACGCATTTAATCCAAGACTCTAACATGACAATCACTTGAGCAAACTATTGAGCTTTGCTCAATTTTATTATAACAAAAAGAAGGGAAAATTTACAGTTCAGATGAGTTATGTTCAACGAAAAGTCACCCAAAAATCAAATCACCTGTTTTGGTTGTCCATTCTCACCGCCAATAGTAGCTGAAATTATCTCACCTGCTTCTGTTCCATTTCCATTAATAACAGTAGCCTCCATATCCTGTGAAATACAAGTTACAAACAATAATTTTAGGAATAATCAAGGACCTAGATAACTTTAGACAACTTTGAATCATTTCATAAAATCAAGTAACATTTCCCAAAAAAATACAAAGTTATGTATTCATTGCAGCTTAATCCAATTACAATAATCAAATGAAATGGAACACCATGCATGTAAACCATGTATCTAACATGACAATCAATTGAGCAAACTATTGAGCTTTGCCCTTTCTCTAAACACCAAACAGCCTCAACAAGAAAAATTATTCCCACTCCATCAAGAAAGAAAAGGACATGTGAAAATTTACAATTCAGATGAGCAGTTATGTTCAACGAAAAGACACCCAAATATCAAATCACCTGTTTTGGTTGTCCATTCTGACCCACTTTAGTAGATGAACTTATCTGACCTGCATTCTGACCCACACAAGTAGATGAACTTATCTGACCTGCATTCTGACCCACACTAGTAGATGAACTAATCTGACCTGCTTCTGTTCCATTTCCATTAATGACAGTAGCGTCCATATCCTGTGAAATACAAGTTACAAGAGATAATCTTAGGAATAATCAAAGACCTAGATAACTGTTGACAGCTTTGAATCATTTTATAAAATCAAGTAACACTTCCAAAAAGGTTGGTCAGAAGATCTCTTGCAGAACCCCAAGCCATATCCTGCGGAATATGTAGATATTTTCCTCATTGATTCAATTCATAGCCAATTCAAGTCATAACATTGAAAGAAAATAATTATTCCTCATTGATTCAATCCATTGCTCACATTAAGGCTCAATTCAAGTCATAAACACCGACAGAAACTTCAAATTATATCAATGGCTTCTTACTTTTTAAGTTTCAAGAAGTTAATATTTTCTTAGATGGAATTCCAGCATACCTTGTTATCATTTTAAAACAAGATGGATATGAAGACAATATTTAAGAGGGAAATTTCAACACATATGTAGGCCTAAAAGTTTGAAACAGAGTAAGACCCAAAAATCACCTTCTCATCTTGGGCGGCTGTTTTCTCATCTTGGGCGGCTGTTTTCTCATATTGGATGGCTGTTTTCTCATCTCTGATTGTCATTTTATGCATTTCATTAGGGAGCTGATCGACAGATGGTTTCTCAATTCTAGCAACAGAAGCTACATTGGACGTACTGGCCACAGTTTCCAGTGTTGAAGAAGCCATATTATCCCCTGTACCAGCGGTGCTCCTCTCAACAAAATTAGATTCCTCATTTACCTTACATTCTGATTCTTGACCAACCTTTGTCCTCTTGGTTCCAGTTTCCCCGCCCTGATGAGAAAATTTTAATTTTCCAAAAACAAAAAAGAAAGAAAAATCAATCATAAAACCTAAAGATTAAAGAAACCAAGCATCATCACAGTAATAGAATCCTTTTATGTTGCTATCTTTATATACTAGTTTCATTGTAGATATCATATGTTTTCTTTTCATCAGAACAGAATTACATATGTTCACTATGTTTAGGGCATTACCCGTTTTTAGGAAAAAACAATAATGGTGATGACCCATCACCAACTTAAAAACAATGCTCTAAAAAATTCCAACCACTGATGCCTGATCTTAAAATAAACCTCCATGGTAAAAATATAATCTAAAACTACAGGTTAACCTATGACAATTACGTGCACAGAAGCACAAACGTGAAACTATGCTCATACGGTGATGTAATTGAAATCAGAAAATCAAAGTAGAGGACCAATAAAATTTATCAATAAATTAATAGAACACAAACAACGGCGATACAAAATTAAAAAAAACATGGCTATTAACCATTTAAAAAAAAACAAAAGCAATGAAGCAAAAAGGCAAAATAATTCAGAGAACAATGTCATTCCTCTCTTGTTTCAAAGAATAATGGTTTAAAAAAAATCAACTATAATATAAGCCAAAAGTAATTAAGCGACGAGAAGAATTAAAATGAAAAAAAAAACGCAAACAAATAGTAATCAGCCAATCTAGACATGAAAACCAAAAATCATAGAAGCAAAAGTATATATTTTCTGCATTTAGCTACAAATGGAAGACAACGAAAATCTATCTTTTCAACAAGATAAGCTTAGAAATAATCCAAAAATCCGTTCCATTTCTCCAACCTTTAGATTAGCGCCAATTAAATCCATGAAATGAATAAATAAATAAAAAAAGAACTCACGGGATTGGTAGAAACAGAAGGACGACCGGAAGCAATGCTCTTGAGACGACGCATCACATTCATGATTTTAGATTTCACCGAACCACACCGCAGCTTCTTCGAACCAAAACAACGATTTTGGCTTCCACCACAACAACGAGAAGAGAAGAGAGAAGCCCCGCTTTCTCTCTTCGTCTCCTCCGCCTTTGATCCTCTTACCAGAATTACAGATTATGTAAAACCAAGCAAAACATAAAACATCAATGCAATCAAAAAAATCAATTAACCTAATTACATATCTCCAAAAAAACACTCAATTTATTTCCTCTCTTCTTTTCTTTTCTCTCTGAATATCTGACGAAACTCAAAAGAAAAGAAAAGAAAAATATTGATTTAAAAAAACAAAAGGAAAAAGGAAAACTTTCTGTGTGTAATAGAATTTTTTTTCTGTTCCTTAAAAGCCACCAAAGGCCAATCATACAAGCCTAAACTTTTGCTGCTTCAAATCACACGCCTAATATTGGCCGTCGATTCTTGGCAATGAGAGATCAAACGGTCGGGCGTATTTAGGTTTTTAGGTAAATTAGCACTTCCTTTAAATAAGTTGAGATGGAGATTTATCCTGGACGGGATATTCGGGGGGGGGGGGGAGGTTTGACCGATCTTTTGGCGGTTAATTATTACTTATGTTTTTTCTATTTGAGAAATGTAAGATTCTAATATCTGTTTTTTATGGATAAATTACCATTGTCATCACTTAATTATGGACATTTTTATTTTACTATCAATCTTTTAATTTTATCAATCATATCACTATGATATCAATCAAGTTATTAGTCGATAACATTTAGGAAAAAGGTGATGTGGCAATTAAACTTTTATATATAGTTATACATTTGGTCTTTGTTACTTACACATGTCACCATCTGATTAGAGGAAAACAAATGGAAATTAAGATCAATTTGATATAATGTGTAAATAATAGGGACCAAATATATAGTTATATCAAATTATTTAATTATCTCGCCACCTTCTCTATTAAATGTTAATGATAGATGACTTGATTAACATCATTTAAATAGTTAAATGGTTTGGTTGACAAGATTAAAAGATCAATAATCAAATTAGAATCCTCTCATAATCAAGTCACCATTAACATTTAACAAAAAATGACATGGTCGATAGAAAATTCGTTGTGGTTATTTATTTGATCATTGTTACTTACATGTGTCATCATCTCAATAGATGAAAATAAGTGACAATTGGGATCGAATTAATATAATGTAAAGTAATATGGAGCAAATATATAATTATGCCATACTTCTTAGATGCCACGTCACTTGAATGTTAATGTTAATGGTTGATGATTTGATTGATATCATTTAAATAATTAAATGGTTTATTAACAAAATTAAAAGATTAATGATTTAATGACAGGGAAGCGGTGGCGGATTGATGAACGTTGCTCTTGTTGAAGAATCAAACCTAGAAAGCTCTAGACTCGATTAAGAACAAAGGGGATGAATAGGGGAAGGTGGCGGTAGTAACTAGGATTCTTTAGGGTTTCTTCAAGGCAATAAGATTAGAACAAAATAAACAAAAGATAAAGAAATTGAAAATAAAATAAGATAAGATAATAAAGAAATCAAAAGATCTCCCTTACGAAGGTGGACGGTAAAGATGATTGATGGTGCAGATGGATTTGTGGAAAAATAGATGGATAAGTGTCCTATCGAACCCTCCTAGTCGCAATGAAAAGGAAAACTCGATAAATGGCTCTAACCAACCCTCCTAGTCTCGATGAAAAGGCAAATTGGAGTGTGAAGATTAATCTCCCTCACAAGAACTTGAAAGAACTCCAGGAGAAGAAGCTTCGAAGGCACAAGGCAATCAGCACTTGCAAAAATGAACTCTCATTGTATTATTAATCAAATAAATCTTGAATTACAAAGTTTAATGAAGCCTCCTTTATATAGGGGCCGAGTTCTAAAGGTCCTAAATATTTAATGAATAAAATAATAATAAACTAAACATATCTTAACTCTAATTCCTAATAAAATAATAATAACTAAAGATAATACTTTTAACCCAACCTTAATTCCTAATAAAATAATAAATCTAATCCTAAAATATAATGCATCATCCTATATTAAGTTATATTACAAATAATCAATAAAAATATTGAAAATTCGTAATATTTACAAAATCCCGTATTAATCCCGTATAGGATTTTCTGCATGTACCGTCTTCAGTAAAATAGTCATATCTTGAGTTCCCGATATCGGATTGATGCGATTCAAGAACCCTTGGAAAGATAAGAGACAGACGGCCGTATCTCCAGAAGACATCTTGACTAAATAATATCAGGATCACATTCAAAAAGTCGTAGTAAGTCTTATTCTGTTCTGATCTTCTTTTCCAATGCTTGGACGAGTGGATCATTTGGAAGAGTTATTATTTCTTCCTTTGATGTGAGCCTTGTGATGCATGTATCATCCTCCCTTTCTTCAAAAAGATTCGACCACGAATCTGAAACATTAAAGGGAGCAACATTAGAATCGTTTAATGATTCATTCACATTATACTTACCGAATAGATATGCTTTGAATCTTCGAGACTTTGTTCTTCTAATAGGTTCAAGTAGAAAAATTTGTCCAAAGAAGCTTGTATTATGGACTCTGGTGCATGTATCATTCCCCCACTCCTCAAAAGGATTCATCCTCGAATCTGAAAATCCAAGAGAAAGAGATTTAGATGTGTTGAAAGAAAAACTTGTAAAACATTTACCAGGATCAATGTGATGTGTCTTTATGCGTTTTAGTCGAGGTTTCTTCTTTGTAGGAACTGATTTCTTGAAGTCTTGAAATCCTCTTTTGCATACAAGTCTTGTAATATGATGTTTTGGTTGAAATTCAACATGGCGCCGGCCACTGTTGGCTTTATGTATGATTATTTCAGATAATTTCTCCATGGTTTTATTTGTGTGTGGCGAGAATGAGTGTTTAAAAACCATGTCAATTGGTTTGTTAAAGTAATCCCTTAAGTCTCCTAAGCGGGGTTCATGAATTAATGATTCCCGGGAGGAGCTTTGTGGACTGTAGAACCTGTTTAGTTGGCAAGGAAACTCATATACAAGATAAAGCTCAGTAAAAGCACTTTTAAAAGTATGGGTAGAAATAACAAAAATATCCGAGTTCTCGTGATATAAATCTTTGATATGTTCAATTCTCGGAATAGTAATATGAGTTTGATAGGTAAGAGTATACCTTCGTGGTAGTGTATCGTCTACTGTGTTTTGCTTACCTCGGTATGTTACGCACTTAAAGGAGTTGCTTTTAGTATGGATGACAACTTCACGAGCCTTACCTTGTAAGAAGGAGAAGAAGTATGTTACAATGTCATTAAAATGAGTAATAAAATACTTACCTTTGGACTGTCGTAAATCATGACTCTTCATTGATATAGCATAGTGATTAGGGCTTTCAGGTGGTAACCCATCAGGAGGGTCACCTAGCACTATTCGACAACTCTAGGCGATAGAAGATGGTGTGGGCCAGTCTCGTGTTGCTTTTACTTTCTCATCATTTATATGGATTCCCTGTGCATGAACTATAAAGCATGTGGAGTTGTTCAAGTCATGTTTCGTGATTAAGATGACGTTACGACTAAGGCTTTCATGGATGTAGCCTTTTTGTAACAAATTTAACTCTTTGGTTTCTTCGAGATTGTATGTTTGACGAGGTATGATGGAACCTTGAATTAGATTGGTTTGGTGTTGTTTTCCTTTTTCCAGTGGTAAACCGTCAGGTGGATCACCTAATTCTTCTTGAAAATCCTGTAACAAAGATGAAAACACACTAGGCAAATCCTTGTTAATGTTAGAAATCGAAACAATTGATTCTCTAAAGCGAACAAGGATGGAAGGCTGTTTGTAAAGAAGGTTCTCTCTCAATTCTTTTGTTCTCACACATAGATTTTGAGTCACTCTTTTCTTCTCACAATTAGGTTCACTCACCTCCCATGGGTCATTATTCTTTTGGCTTTTGTAACTAGTGACCTCTTTTTCTTTTGCCTCTTTCTCAGCTTTTTCTTTTTTTGCTTTCCCTACCTCCTCACAAATTATCATTTGATCTTTAGGGGATGGAAGTTTTTCATTCTTTGCTGGTCGTTCTTTCTCCTTGTCAGGTTTGTCATCTCTTAGCTTTTTTAGAGAAGATGGAGTAGAAGACGGGGAAGGATTTGAAGGATTACCTTGGTAAGAGGATGAAGTACCTTGTTAATGTTCTCGAAATCTCCTTTGGATTTGTACTTCGATTGTCATTGCTTTCTTTAGTGTATCTTCAAGGTTTTCGTACCCATGGAGGTCAAGAAGATCAGTGATGTTTGAGTTCAAGCCAACGACGAATCTTGACACGGTGACTTCTTCTTTTTCGGTTATGTTAGCCCTATTGAGTAAGGACTGCATCTCCTTGTAGTAGTCTTCAACTGAACTTCTACCTTGTCGAAGTCGGTGTAGTCGTAGTTTAACTTATCGTGTATAATGTGTCGGTAGGAATCACTTTCTCATGGTTTGTTTGAGGTCGGTCCAAGAAGTGATTGTTGGAATTTGGAAATTATGGATCTTTTTCCTTGTTTGCATCCACCAAGTTCGAGCATATCCTTCGAATTGCATGGTGATGAGGGGAACTTGTTTAGCTTGGGGGTAGTCATGGTATGCGAATATGAGATCAACTTTTCTTTCCCAATCGATGTACCTGTCCGGATCGTTGTCTCCTTTGAAAGATGGGATCATAAACTTTGGTTTTGCAAAGAGTTCGGGTGCTTGGAAACGTGGTTGTTCTGGCCTGGGTACCAAAATTTTAGCATTGTTTAGTCTTGGATTCTGGTTTGGTAGATCCAGTTGTGGTTCTTGTCGTTCTCTCACGGTATTGGTAAGTTCATCAAATCTTTCAACTTGAGTCGTGAGTCATGCAAGTGCGGCTAAGATAGCCGTAAGTGTCTTGTTGTTATTGTCACACATCCTGAAATCATAACACTCGAAAGAAAATTTTAAAGTAAAATAAAAATAAAAGAAAAAAAATTCAACAAAGCAAGAAACCTCACAAGTCACTCCAAGAAAGTAACACAACGAGAGGCAAGTAAGCCGATCTTGTACTCTTTAAAACTCACTTTACCAAGTAGTCTTCCACAGTTCGTATTGGAGTTTGATTACTAGCAAAGGCGATAAGAAAAAAACCTAAAAGCTCTAAGAGGCCAAACAAAGGTTAGACTCCAAGAGAACGAGAATGCAAAGAAGGAAGAAGTATGCAAACTCTTTAGTCCTACTAA